AGCGGGTGCCGCCCCGCAGGTGACGGCCGCACACACACACACACACACACACAGACCGGCACAGCGGGGAGCAGCGCGCGGCCGAGTACTCCGCGGTGAGCGACCACCTCCCGTCCGCCTCCGGGCACCGGCGCACCCCCGCTCGTCCGGCGGAAAGGCCGACGGAGCTCGGCCAACTATTGCGGCGATAAATTTCTTGGGCGGGATTTAATTGGTTCGGGAGGCGGCCGGGACGGGAACGGATCGGCTCCCGGTAACCGAGTCAGCCCGTTTCCGCTGCTGCTCAAAAGATCCGAGAGAACTCGAGAGACAGAAAAGCTACCTCGAGCCGCCGCCTGACGGGGTCATCCGATAACGTAAAGTCCTCTTCCTCCCACTGTCTTCCACCGGGAGGACGGCGGGACGACAGGCAGGTCAGCAGCGCCGCCGCGCTGGTCGCTGCCTCCATTCATTAGCGCACCGCCTGCAGGACGCCGACCGTGCCGTCGGTCCGGTCGTGTCGTTAGTCGCGCTGGCGAGGGTGCGTCGGACAGGCGCCAGCGCGCGGCGCCGCCGCCGCTCTGATGGCTTTGGGCAGGAGAGGAGATCGGCTGCGGGCTCCCAGCGACTCGGCGGCTACCGCGTATGGAAATGCGCCACCTCCCGTTATCGGCTAAATGGCCGAAATTGTGATAAACGGGGCCGCCGGTGACATTTGAAATGTAAATAAACGGCCGGCAGGTGCCGATAGCCGCTGCGGTGGCGGTGCCCCGGGCGGGTCACGGTCCGGTCGGGTCAGGCGGACAATCCGAGGCGGACCGTATAGAAGGACAGTGCCGAGACGGTGTCAGACAGACATACAAACGTCGTCCAACACTCGCGTCACGCCCGACGGGTCGGCCGTTGTTTGCCCACACGGCGAGAACAATCTCCAGATACTGCACGTCACACGGCAATAATTATTAACGCCATGAATTATGGAGAGCCCAGAAGATTATAGTCTGGGGAGGCTGGTATGTGCGCGGGTCTGATGGGCGGCCGGGGCGGCGGACAGCTGCGTCAAATGGCCCTCGTGGCCGGCGCGGTGACGGCCCGGCTGATAACGCGGCCACGCCGGCCCTCAGCGGGGCGGTCCGCCCGACGACCCTGTTTGTCCTGCTGCGGGAGGACAGTCCCCAGCGATAGGATCGGTTTCAGCCCCGTCCACCATCCGGCGGCGGTCCTCCTTTGGACGCCACCGTCCTCCCGAGGAACCTCCTCCAGTCCGTGACCACAGTTCTTCCTCTCAGTTCTCCCCGACCTCAGCCGTCCCAAAGTGGCACCTTTGACTCATCGGGCCATCTTCGGAGGACGGGATTAGCCGACCTCCCTATCTCTCACCTTATAAATTGCCTTTGGTTAAGTAAGTGTCGAATTTGACAGGTCATCCATGTTATGAAGAACGATCCCGGTTTATATAAATTATGTAAGTCGTTTCTCCGGTACACTGGTGATGTATGGAGGTGTGATTCCAGCCCGGAGATGAAACTCAAAGCGGCGACGATGGCTGATCAGTCCGAGCAGTGCTGGCGTCATGACCGGTCCCGGGTACCAGGCGCCTATACCAAGCGGCGTGCACATGTGTTTTCATATGCAGATTGGGCCCGGGAACGGCCGGTAGGGTGGCACGGCTTTAGAGGGCTGCCAAGGACACGACTGCAGCTGCGATGAGCCGCGCGCCGAATTTATGTCCACAGCCCTATCAGATGGTGTACCTACAAACCGGCAAAGAGCGAGTTTGCTCGCGTAATTAACGAGCGTCCCGGGCCCATCGGTTAGAGGCCGCAGCAGCGACCGGCTCACCACTGCAACTCAAGGCTGGCGGGTCGCGCCCACCGCCGTCGCCGACAGGTGGGGGAGGGGAGGGGCGCCCACCAGCACCCTGATCAGGGCTGTTGGCGACCCCCCCCGCACCTGTGGACAGCATCACGACCGTCCTGTGGAGGGCGAGGCTCCCCGGTCTGATGTCACGGCCAGTCTGTGGCGCGCCGCGATCGTCGCCGCCAGCTGAGCGCCGCGCCGCGTCCGTCTCGCTGAGACAATGGCGGCGCTGTGGCGGCCAAATATAGTGACGGCAGCGCGGGCCGTCGACAGAGAGGCGCTGTTCCGGTGTCAGCGGCGCTGGGAGGTCGCCGCTGCGGGGGCGGGCACGAGACGCCTCTGGTCGCCAGCGCGCCCGCGCGACCGACTCTACCTCATCTATCCTCTCTTTTCTTTCATTTGTTCCATTTTCCAGCTCCGTAGCTACTGTCCAGCCGCCGCGGCTCGAATCCAGCTCAGCTTTGTCTGATGTCCGGCCGGCGCCGAAAAACGGGCACCAAACAAATAGTGCACGGCGCTGGGCAGCGGCCGGTATTTTTGTCCCCGGCGGCCGGTCATTTATCGCGCCGGCGGCGGCGGACCGAGACGACGCGTCGACGCCGACGGGACGACGCGTCGACGCCGACGGGCCTCCGGGAGCTCCGCCGGCGCCGTCCGAGCACCACCGGCCGATGAATCTTTAAACTGTCCGTTAGCACCCGAGCTGGGATCGGCCGGCCGCCCGGCGGCAGGGTCCGGCGCGCCGCGATATTGCACCATCGAGAAGCCGCCTTTCAATTAGTCGGCGGCGCAGATGTATCCCGATTTACAGCTGGCTGTCGCCGATAAAGCCGGCGAGCGCCGACCGAGTCGGGTGTCGATAGAGCCCACCGCTCCCCGGCGGGTCGGAGACGGGCCGACGCCGGCCGGTCGGCGGCGCATTATCAGGATTACAGCAGAGACCTGCAGCCGCACCCGGCTCCCTGTTCGCGGGCTCATCAGACACCTCACCCGTCCCGTAGAAAGGGAGAGGTGGGGACGAGAGAAAGGAGGTGGAAGACTCCGGGAGCTCAGAGTCGCGTCGGAAGAGAAGGGTTGGGAGTAGGGATTCGGGTCAGCGGGCTGCTAAGACCACAAGGGTCAAATGATGGCGACAGAGGGCACCACCGAGGTGCCTAAGGAGCCCACAGATGAGACCAGATGGCACCCCTCAGACTGACTGAGAGGGGTAAACGGGTTGGCACTGAGGTGTAAACTGCCTCCGCCGGGCTCAGGACAGGGGTCAGGGTGACCAGCACCGTCCAGCTGACATCCCTCCTACCCTCCGACAGCTGGTGACCGTCGACACTCTCAGCGGGCGGGTCAGCCCTCCGCCCAAACCCGCACACCACCCCAGCCGCTGACCGTTCGAGCCCATCGTGCGGGCGCTGCCGGGGAGGGGGCGGACCGTCCGGCTCGGAGCAGCGGGCGATCATGACTGGCGCCATCAGGCCGGCGGTGTTGGTGGACGGGCGGAGGACCACCCCGGCGGGGAGCGGCGCGAGCGCCCGCTGCAGACGAGTCAGCGCTCTCTGCGAGCTGGCCGGCCCGGGTCGGTGGTCAGCACGGCAGCACGGCACGGCACGGCACGAGTCGAATGGTAGTGAACTGCGCAAGGAGCAGTGCCCGCAGGAAATTTGGAGGGGAAAGCCCACGACGCTCGGCGCCGAACCCCGCGCACAAGACGCCGTGATGCCGTGCGCGCCAGTCCGTAAAGTTCCCGTCGTCCATTTGTAGTACACGGTCCGGCTGGAGGGCGGACAGGGTTTTTTGTTCACCATCTGGCGTTCAGTGAGCGGCGCGGCCGCACAGGTGGGGTGGCCGGGCTGTGGAAAAACGGCAGCGGGGCCAGGGCCGCGCGCCGGGCGGCCGCCGGCTGAGACACGGCGACATACCGCGCCCGGCGCTGCAGTGACCGCCGCGGTGTCTCAGGGGCCGCCGCTGCGACCGGCACACCGTCAGCCGACCACCAGCAGCCCTCGAATGAGATGTTTGCCCGCCGACTAATAACAGACCGTAAAACGCGGCCCGCGCGGCCCAAAATCGCGCTCACCGGACCGTTCACCGCGCGGCCTGAGCGGCGCGATACTGGGCTGGCGGCGCACCGGAAAGTGGCCTCTATGAGCGGCGGCGCCGGCCGGTCCCCCGCGGCTCGGCCACAGGAGATAGAACGGCGTGACGTGTGGCGCCTGAACACGCCCGCTCGGCGCAATGGAGAAACCATTGCCGACCTTATTAATGCTGCTCGGAGTGGGGCGCGCCCGGCGGCCAGCCGGCTGGCTCCCTCTGAGAGCGGCTCCAATCGGCGGCTGGGGGCCACCGCTCAGTGCCAGCAGCGCGCAGGTGTGGGTGGACTGACTGCGGTCACACGCCCGGGGCTCACACAGCGGCTGTCCCCGCCGCCACTGAGCACATCGTCGGCCAAACAAATGGCCGAATTATGCCGATTGTTGTGACGTCTGACTCGGCGACGGGGGCGTCGGGAGCACCGCGGGTCGGTAGGTCGGCGCGTCACATCAATTTGCCCGCTGGAAGTGAGCTGTCGTCCCAGTGACGACGCCTCCGCGCATGGCCGACCATGTACGGCCGCCGGAGGCGCCGCGCACCGCACAAAGGCGTCATCAGGCACAGCGCGCCGCCCGGTGCGAGCGGCGAGAGGGGAGCGGTCGACCCGGATCACCGACCGTCAGAGCTGGGAGCCGCCCGGTCAGCGGTCGGCAGTCGGCGGTCGGTGCCGCCCACGGACCACCGGCCGCCGCACCGTCAGCAAAACGCCCTCAACCGAGAGTCGTCGATAGCGACGGCGACTCCCCGCCGGCCGACAGGGGTGGTGTCGGAAAAAGCGCCGCCGCGCCCTCCGCCGGCCGGCACCGGACGAAACGCGACACGGCGCGCAGATTGCCGGGGGCGGCCAGCGCTGCAGAAAATTAACGACAGCTCCAGTTACACAATGGCGGCAAGCGACGGCGGCCGCCGCCGCTCGGAAACGCACCGGCAAACGAGCCGCTGGCATGGAAGCCGGGATTGCTCGTCATAAAGGAAACGGCCGTGTCCCAACACCTGGCAATGGGCTCGCGGCGAGTCTGCGGCCGGCGCGCTTAGGGGAGGGGGCCGGCGCCGGGTGGCTCCGGGTAATCGCTTACCTTCTGCGGCGGCGTGGGAGATCAGGAGCGCCGGCAGCAGCAGCAGCAGCAGCAGCGGCAGCCGGGGCGGCAGGGCTGGGAGCCGGCCTCGTCCGGCTGCTCGCCGCACCGCAGCCATCGCCAGCAATCTGCAACTGGAGAGAGGGACACTGTCAGCAGGCCGCCGGACGCCCGGCGTCAGCAGTTTGACTCATGTGTGAGGGCAGACAGGGGCGCACGGTCCAGCCCCCCCCCCCCCTCACCTGACCAGGCAGACCGGGAGGTCTCCGCCTCCGGCGCCGTCCGGACCGCAGATCGGCCCCGGTCTACGTGACCACAGCAATAACGCTGCCGTATAAATCAGGGCGTCCGCCGCCGCGGCGCGCCGCCCCACTCCCTCCCGGCCGGCGGCTCAGTTTTTTGTCCGTCCCCAGTCCCAGCCCGCTCACAGCGAGCACCTGTCAAACTCGGCCGATCAAGACTTCCCAGACGACCCGAACGTAGTTTACGAGTTTTTAAAGTGTGTATTCGGCATTCCTGAGTAAACAGAGAAGCCCGCTCGGGTAATGAGCGCCCCGCTGCGACGGTCCGCCACCCCTTCTCCTCCCTCTGATGAACAATGGCCGCCCGATCCGCCCTGTGGGCGCGCCACAGCCGGGGCGTGTCCCTTCATATCGCCAGTGTGCGCGCCGCCCTGCCCGGGCCTCATCACCCAGCGGGCCGCCGCGCAGACCCTCTCCCCACCTGGTAAACAGAAAAGTTAGCCCAGCCCGCCGGCCGGCTGATAGCCGACGCCAAGTTAGCGCGATAGTCGCACCCCAGCGAGACGCGATCATCGCCCGTCGTGTTGACGCCCGGCCGAGCTGAATATGCAGTTTGTCAAACAAGTGTCACCAGTTACCGCGCTCCGACTCCGACTCCGACGAAAACTAAAATCTCCTCTCGGAGAAATGGGACGAACAAAACAGACCGGGGTTCCACGAGCGATACTGTAAAACACTGCCGAATATTTAACGACACACTACACCAGGCGGAACGGGAGGCTGTCGCTTTTACGGAACATTATCGCTTTAAAACGCAACAGATCCGTGACTGGAATATCACTGGGAGAACATAACCACATTGGCAGTGTGTGTCTGTGAATAAATTCTGAGCTTGGTTAGCACGTTTGCTGCTATCTGTGTGTGGTCCGCAGGCCGGTTATATGGGGCGTGAATGTAACACACCCCAGGCGAAACAGGACTGGTAAAAAATGACCGAGCGGGGGCCACAGCTAACCGACGGAGATCAAATGACCCACGGGAGAACTGGAGAGGCAGTGAAATAAAGACTGGGGGATGAGAGCTGGGGAGACTTTTGGTAAAGACTGGTGAGTGAATGATAACTTCAAACTGCGGACTATCGACTTAAAAGGCAATCACACTAGGACTGGAAGAAGCTGCCAGCTGAACAATTCCTAGGATGCAAGAAACTACTTTAGATTGTAAAAAAGTCCATCCATCTCTTCGCCGGCTGGAGGTAAGAGCGAACGTTAGACCGCTGGTTTCCACTGCCGCTGGGGTCTTTCCGAAGGACTGGCGCGATGGGGTGTCTCTCCCCTCTCCCAGTCTGGTGGAACGACCGCCACTAGCAAAAACCCTGTGGGGACCACAACAGCGGCTGGAAAACTGGGCCACGCGCCGGCCGGGACGACGGCACAAATAGGGTCTTTGTTGTTGATCGTGCCACTGTCGCTAGGACCAAGCCACCTATTTATCAGGTCAGCCTAGGTCAGGTACAGTCCGACCAGGACGTCAGGTCAGTTCAGGTCGGGTAAGGTCACTCCCGCCCACTACCGCCCAGGACCTGCCGGTCCGCCCGGAGCAGTGACCCGAGATCGGCGGGCGGTTCGGCGGGCGGTTCGTCGGGCGGGGCGGTTCACTAGGCGCGCGGCGGGCGGCCGGGCGGAGGCGCCGCGGCGCCGTATCGCACGCGGCGTATGAATACAAAACGGCTTGTTGATAGCGTCTGTGACAGTGTATGTGAGTGAGCGCTCCCCAAGGAGCTGACCGTATCGACCGGCCGGCGCGGCGCCGTGTTATTTACCCGCCGGCAGCGCTCTTCACTCGACCTGCCCCCGAGTATCGGCCGCGCCGCTCCACAGCCAAAGCATCCGGCCCTGCAGTTCCGGTCCGCGCGTCGGCGTCGGCGGGGCGATACCCGGTCCGCAGCCGGCGACCACCGAGCTCGACGCAGCCTCAGCGGCCGCATGATCTACGGGCCGCGTTTAAATGCAAAGTCGCGGCGATAAAGTGGGCACGCCGATGGCCTAACGACGGCGCCGGAATAAAGCTACCGACCAGCGACCGACGACGGGCGCGGGCGCGGCTGACAGGGCAGTCACCGACACCTCCACTTCCGGAGGGAAGGGGAGGGGGGGGGGGCAGTTCAGGTGCCAGACATCCGCATTGACGAGGGAGGGAGGAAAAGAGAGAGGAAAGTGGAGAGGGTCGCTGCCGGTACAGCTGATCGCCGCCGCCGCCAGCTCGGACAATCGCCCGGCGCGCCGGCGGCGGCGGATCGTCGACAACAAAGGCAGCCGCCGGGCGCCGCGCGGCGTTCCAGACCCTGTGTCCCGTGGAGAGGTGACGGAGTCACTCCGACCGCGGCCAGCCACAGGCGGCATCCAGCGGCGGCCGCTGCCAGCGAGCCGTGTCACCCGTCCGAGCCCAGCAGTACGACACAGCGCGCCGGTGACGAATTAACGCCGCCGCTCAGTGAAAATAAACACCGGCCGCCTATTGAAGTCGCTGTGGACAGCTTCTTGGCCGGGTGTGACGATAAACAGCCCACGGCGCGGTGTCGGACCGCAGCACCCGCGTCAGACGTGCCGGAGTGGCCCGGCCGGTCGGTCGGTCCGGCGGACAGCCGACACACACCTGTGGCCGCGTCAGCTGCGGCGGATGGCCACCAGCTGGCACCAACGACCCGATCGGACGGCATCATCGCCCGGCCCGCCGACCGACCGACTCGCACACAATGCCGTCTGTTCAGACTGAGATGCGGTGACCGAAATCGCAGGACGCAGCGGAATTGTACCGACCAGTTATCACAGTATCACACCCAAACGAGGTGCGATGAGGTGACCTCGTCCAGCCAGACGAGGTCCCCGCTACCCCAGCATCATCGCAACGGAAGTATATACTGGCCAATTCTCACGCCTTGCCACCGCACACGCGCTCGGTCCAGACTGCAGCCCCGGCGACCCGGCATCATCGTCGCCGACACGCGTCCTCCGTCGCTGCCGATGTGTCGACGGACGGCCGTGTCGGCGCGTAACCCGGCTCGTTCGACGGCCGTACGACCGGCATATCAGGAAATGGGACGGCGCCCGGCCGGAACGGGCTGCGGTTACGATCCGGCCACGGTGGCAGAGTTAGCGGCGGCCCAGGTGACCTGTCATCACCGGAGGCGGTCTGCGGTGACCTGTCATCACCGGAGGCAGTCTGCAGTGACCTGTCATAACCGGAGGTTGATGAAGAGTGACCTGCATCGCTTGGTTTTGGTATATGATGACCTTACATGAGTAAGCTTGGTAAATGGTGACCTGTCACCATTGGGTTTTAGTTTATTGGGACATGGCATGACTGGGTGTTGGCATGGAGTGACCCGTCATTACTAATACACTAAGCTACAATAACGTGTCGTCAATAGAGCTAAACTACAATGGCTTGTCGTCCAGTCGACAACTAGAATGGCTCTGCAGCGTTTTCGGGGTGGTCCTCCCGCCCGCTCCCACTCTCTCCCCCTCCCTCTGTCCACCAGTGATTGCAAGGTCAGGCCCGGCGCCGGCGCCGGCCGGTGAGGTGGTGCACTGCGCAGATGCACGGTGGGCGCTGTATGGGCCTCCTTTCTCCCCCGACCAAACCGAGACGGAGTCGGGAGTGTGGCGCTCAACGGCCAATGGGAGCCATGTGCCGTGAAGCCAGCTCGGCACGACGCCATCAGTGCCCAGCGGGGCGACGGTGCACGGTGGAAACAAGAGACCTGGACCGTGCCAGCCGGGACCACGCGTGGACCTGGTGCGGGTATAGTCCCGGGACCACGCTCTGCCGGTGCAGACTGCCGATGACATCACAGCCTATGACGTCACATCAGTCCTTGCACCTGCACCGCTGCGATTCGGTATCGTGTCGGCGCGTCTCTGGGCGCTGCTTACATGCCATAGCTCGTTCACGGCCGATTTAAGACGACTGAGCGCCATGAGCCAGCGACCGACGACCAGTACCGCCACTAACACATAGGCCAACGATGGAAAGGGGTGTGGCACGGTGATTTTCGGGACGATACGATTTAAAGCTGAACGGATGATATATCGAACGGGACGAGCCGGACAGAGGTCACTGAGTTCGCGACAACCGGAAGGACTCGACACTGCAGGCTCGTTGCATCAGTCCGAGGTCCGAACTGTAAACTGAGAAGTATCAGCTGCCGGTGTTGATATTGCTGTGTGGCTCTGCAGATCCGGGAGCATGCTGTGACGGCGCCGTCTGTCTTTCCTCCAACCGGTCAGCTCGGTGTCAGTGCAGGCGGAAGTCTGGGGGAGGGGCGCCGCCTCGTGGCTGTAGAGTGCAGGTGTTCCGCTCCGACATTGACCTGGTCGTGGTTAACGAGCTCGGCTCGGTCGATGTAATGATCATCCGGCCAGTCGGATCGAGTGGCCAACCACTGCCGCCAACAGCGGACGGAGGAGGGAGGGGGCAGCCAGTGCAGCCACACCCTCCTTGTTCTTCAATCCCTCCACAGTCCAAACGCACAGTCAATTCAGTGCAGCAGTCGAACGGAATGAACATATCGGTAACGGGACACTACTCCAGGTGTTGTATTGCCTGGCATTTCCTGCAGTGCTGTTTGGTTTCTCCGATCATTCCTGCCCCAAGCTGAGCGGTTCCATTTCCACGGTCGGACCGACCGCCGCGCAGCCCGCAGTCGTGGACGGACAAAAACGACGCATCAGCGGCGGGCGGCTCTCAGCTGCGTGAGCACAGTCCGAGAGCCAGTCGGTAAAAACACCACTAATTAAGGCGTCATGAGCCACTCGAATGCCGCCGCCGCCGCCGCCGAATTCTATAGCTGCACCGGGCCGGCGGCGGGCAGTTATTTATTACCGATATCG